GGAACAACATTTTAATAATGTAGTTTAAGTAAATAAAAGTATTCTTAAATAATACAATAAAACGTCTTTACGCGTTAAGATTCGGATTAGAATGTAAGTCAAGTTCACAAACAAATTGACAAACCTAAAGTAGAGCATAACTGTTTAGCTCACACAGAACAAGCACTTCAGTACAATTGCGGGCCTAGTCCCGCGCTTCAGTGAAGAGGAAAACGAGACAAAAGTCAATCTTTTAACGTGCAAACTCCACAGTTATTGAAACGAGTTTACCAGAACTGTTAGATGAAAAATGATTACAAATCCCTCAACATGGTGCGTTAATACTTTTACACCCCTTTTACACCCCTTTTCTGTCCAGGTCCTTGTTCACAACATACATAAACGCTATATGTTGGTTTTGTCTTTTCTTCTTGCCTGGCTCAGTGGTCTTAAAAGCAGTAGTCTGCATAGCCACTTGGCACCGTTTGTTTGCACTGGATCCAATTCAATGTTCTCATAACACTATTGCACCAACCTTGCCTTGAAATATTTGGACGTATGGGTGACTCTTCTCTTGAGATGGTCTTTCCTTGTCAAAAAAAGAAGCAGTTAGCATGGTTCCACCAGATATATGGCAAAGCATTTCCCTTTTTATCACCAAATACAGTACAAAAAAAAAAAAATAGAAATAGTTTGTGAAATCCAAGAGTAAATACTGTACTAGTATGTTGACATAGGTGCAAGATGGGTATACTAAAGCAGAATTTTTAAAAAGTATGTATTTCAACTGAGTTATTGGCTTAATTGCAACATGGAACATGCTGAGAAATATACCCACTTATGGGGTAGACTATGTGTTTTGTTTCGCACTGCAATAAATGATTCAGTTAGTAAAGGGATGTTTATTGTGAAAACAAACAAGTGGAAAGGTTAAGAAAACGTTCAAACGCATATTTTCTTTCTTTTCCTCCCCTTCTTTTTTCTTTCACTGCTCGTCCTGCACTGCTCACTCCAAAGTTATGTGCCACATTGTGAATGAACGGGCATTTGTTGTATTTGACTACGTGGCGGTTCTCGGCCAATCCAATCAATAATCTTCCAAAGGGAACGAATCAGGGTGCGACATAGCATAGGCCGTTCTCGTTAGTGATTGGTCTGTTGGTCCTTTAGCACAGGAAGAACATGGGTGTGTTTCCGAGAGGCGGGACGAAATATTCAACGACGAACTTCCCTGAAGCTACCGGTGAGTTCTTCACTATAAACTTAGTTTAAATTATATTAGACTAACCCGTAATTTATTTTTACGATTTGCTTTCAATAAGATCCAGCGTTTATAAATAAGTTATCGTTAGGTTCTTTTACTAAACCCGTAAAAATAGCAGGTAATAGGCTACGGTAATGTAGTTCACCGACGTTCGAAATGCATCGGTAATAAATAAAAATGTATACTAAGCCTATATCTCTAAGAATACATTAACAAACAGTATGTTTTACGTTCTACGTATGTTATTGTAATAATGAACAATGCGCAGAAGGTTATATTAGTCGTTTATTTTAGTAGTTGCAATAATTAATTAAGGTAACCATGTAAAACGGTCTCTGGGTGGGTGGAAATTATGGGAAAACTTTGTGTCACAATTCTGACAAGAATACTTGTGATTCAATTATTGTGCTGGGTATTTGTATTTCTAACGGTAGATAAACCGCCATGTTGGAAGACAAACAAATTAGCAAATGACTTAATTCGTTGAGTAATTAGTGTAATGGCATAGGAACTTGACATAATAAATGTTTAGATGTTGGAGTCTGTGAAACCGTGTAATACGGAGCGTTAACAAAATAATGAGGATAAATTTCATATTGATGAGTCTTAGAGGACATACTGTAGGTGTGCCCAACTCTGATTTCTGAGCTCCTGGTTGATGAAGGTTGATTCAATGAAACATAATTTAAATAACCACAAAATAAAGAGCCCATTCTTTTCACATGATGCTGGTTTATGAAGAACCTAAGTTCCTTAAACCTTCAAGTCATAGCAAATGCACTGTATAGGAGCCTTAAATGTAAGATACATGTAGTGCCACATTGACATACATGTGTAATCTTCAACCATGTTTTCTCCTTGGATCAGACAGGGTACAACATATCCAGGATGGAGCTGCGTCCACTTGTTACTTTGTTCTTTGCTCTCTGTGTGGTATATGCCACGAGCAAACCTACAGAGAAGAAGGATCGTGTTCACCATGACGAGCCCCTTAGTAACAAAGAACATGAAGATGCAGACAACTTTGATTATGACCATGAAGCATTTCTTGGACAAGAGGAGGCTAAGACCTTTGATCAGCTCACACCAGAGGAGAGTAAAGAGAGGCTTGGGTAAGTGCCACCACATTTGTTTTCACTCATTTTACTTTCCTAAAATGTAGAGTTTACCTCAGGGGTCACCAATGTGGTGCTCATGGGCACCTGGTAGCCCCCATTGACTACCTAAGATGCCAGTGGGGTAAGCTGTAAAAAATAAAACTGGTCATTTGTGTAACGACAATGATGAGAAAAAAAAATATATATACAGTATATCTCACTTTGGGTTTTAACCAAGAGAGAGAGAGAGTGTTCAGTTTATATAACTAAATATATATTTAGCATTCTCAATAATGTAAATCATTTTAGACTGGTTATTTGAATAGTAGCTCCGAAGCAAAAATAGTGTTTACTTGACGATTCTAGCCTTTTGGTTGAAACGTGATTTAAGACAGGGTTCCTGTCTTAAATCACTCTTAGTATCTAAGACATCTATACTAAGAGAATAAAGTCTAAAATACATGTAATTTGGACAATTTAATGATCCTTCAATGTTGGCACGGTGTGACCAGTTTGCAGTAACAGCCGATACTGGCTGTCCAGTCCATTGGGTTGGCGCTGAGTTAAGGTATCTGGCCAGCATATACAGTGGGCCGCTGATTTAAGGTATCTGGCCAGCATATACAGTGATGATTGGCTTATACTGTGCTAGGTTATACTCAAAATTTGTTTTGCTGTAGTTTGTCTTCACCTAATATATAAAATTGTAACTAGGTAAGTATGGCTGGAGTGAAACTGTTATATTATATTTCAAAATGTTGATGATGTAGTAAACCTATCGTCCTAACTCCACTCCAGAATGTTGGTGGAACGCATTGATGATGACAAGGACGGTTTTGTCACAGTTGAAGAAATGAAGAAGTGGATCAAACATGCTCAAAAGAGGTGGATTTATGATGATGTGGAGCGACAATGGAAGAATCATGACCTTAATGGTGATGGAGTTGTCTCCTGGGAGGAATACAAGAACGCAACATATGGATATATTCTTGGTAGAGCTGCAGTTTTTTTTAAAAAAAAAAAACTCAAATACATAGTATTGAGTCCCCAAACACAATAATGATACCAAGCATTTTTACTTTTAGATGACCCTGACCCTGATGATGGCTTCAGGTATAGTCAGATGATGAATCGCGATGAAAGAAGATTTAAAATGGCTGATCAGGGCAATGACTTAAAAGCCACAAAGGAGGAGTTCACAGCTTTCCTTCACCCTGAAGAATACGACCACATGAAAGATATTGTTGTGCTGGTAAGTGCAAACAAAGGAGCACTAGCTAGCAAGCTAACCTAGATGTTATTTTTATTTGCAGAGACCCTAGATATCAAAAACTGCTTATTGCGTTCATAATCAACAAGTGCACATAATGTTATAAATAATTAAATATTCCCCTGCTCGTTCCTGGTTCAACTTGCAAGTGATCCCATGATTCCGTGCTGCCTGTGCTTACAGGAGCAACAGACTTGCATTGCTGCAAAAAAACAAAAAAAACACCAGACATCTATTTCATAATCTCACAAGTAGCTACACATTTTTTTCTAAATTTTGTATTAATTGCGCATG